CGCCAAATGTCAGTCTGATCAGTCTTTCTTGAGGAGACTCTTTGGATATATAGGGGTCAGGGAGCTGCTTGAGGAGACTGTCTGTACTTTAAAGAAGCTCAAGTGCTGAGCTGTGAGGTCCATTGTTCATTCAGGGCTGTTAGGCAAGTGCGTTTAAGTCTGCTGCAGCAGAGCTTATAAAACCCCTTTTTTTCCTCAGATGCTCTGTCTCAGGGAGTTAGGGCTTTCTTTATGAGTATCCGTTGCACTGTCCTGCCCAATTAGGAGGCAGTGTAGTCACTACTTGCCTGCCGAGGCTCTGCTCTGCTGCTGCGGGGTCCGCCCCGCCGCCGTGGGCTCCGCCCTGTTGGCGGAGTCTCTCTGTTATGTCGGGTTGCCTCAGTAATGGCAGACTGCGTCAACAATGGGAGCGTACCTCAGTAGGGGTGGAATGCATTGCTAATGGCGGATGCCCCTCCCCCACTAACCTGCACCATCCTGGATTCAGCTATGCCCGCAGTGAAACTCTCAACCCTGAGCATTTCGAATCTCTGTTTTGTTTGTCCCTGTGGGGGTGGGACCTGGCGAGCCTGATCACCTGGCTCCCTGCCTCAGAGCCCTTTTTCTTTTTTTTTAAGTTGAACAGTTGACTCTCTCCCAGGTGTTTCAGTTACCTGCTGATAGGGCACCAGGATCTGTGTAATTTCCCGTGCAGCAATCCACTGCACGGGCTCAAATGTCGCTTCCTGGTGATCTCCTGGTCTGGCTCACTGTCCAAGTCCCGTTTAATCAGATGGATATGCTAATCTGCCCTCCCAAATCTCAGATTGCCAGTTTAACAGGGCACCCAGACCAGTGCGCTTTGTGTGGAGTGCAGCGCCGACTGAAACAGCCACGCCAGCCAAGAGGGCTGCACTGGCATCCCGTGTCTCTCCTACACCTGGGAATTTCCCGGTTCTGTGGGCAACAAAGATCTGTCTGGAAATGCAGTTTGGACTCACCCTCTGCGCCTTCACTGAGAGCTGCAATCCTAAGTTGCTCCTACCGCGCCATCTTCTTTTTCCCTGACAACCTCATTTTAGATTTTTAAATTTCAAACATGTATAAACAATAGTATAGGGAACCCCTATGTATCTATCACCCAGTTTCAACAATTATTCTTCTGTGATTCCTGTATCATCTACATAACTACCAATTTCCCCCCTCTATTTTCAATTATAATTTAAGGTAAAATTTATATGATTTCAAATGCTAAATCTTAGCGATATAATTTTGATAATGGAAATACCCACACCCCAGGTGTGGTTTCTTTCCAACTCTCCAGAAAGTTCTCCTGTCCCTCTCCGGTTAATCCTCCTTTATCACTGAGTCCAGTCAAGAGACAGAAATCACACCAGTGGTTTGAATAAAGAACATTTATTCTATCTCATAAATACATTCTAATAAAGAATGCCATTCGAGGAATTACTAACTAGTAAAAGGAGAGTAACTACTAACACGGGGCAAAAGAGAACACTAAAGAACACCGTGTGGCTCAGACAGGGTACTAAACAATGAAATAACCTTGGAAGGAGGGCATCCCCCTCCCCAGGGCTGAGATTCAGAGAATGTGGAGTGTGGCTGAGGTGTAGCAGGAAAGTCCATCAGGCTGCCCTCAGACAGAGATGGTTCCCAGCCATGATGGGCCAAAGTGTGGTGAACAGGAGTCCGACACCAGCTCACACTAGTGAGCAGATGCCCCTGCTGGGGTGCCAGTGGGCTGAGGCTGGTGAGCAAAACTTGGTGAAGAGTGACTACCACTGGGTACGCCACACACATGCTCCTGGCAGCTGTGTCATGTGAACAAGAAGTGAGGAAGCACACAGGAACCAGGACGTAACGTCCCATCTTCCTCCAGGGTCTCTACAGCACTGACAAGACTTAACGCCATGCTAGCCCAAAGCAATGCCAAGGTCTAGCTCATGGCACCAGTCCAGCTCCTAGGTGTCAATGACTACTTTTCTCCTTTCCAATATTTTTGCAGTATCATAATCAGTTGTCTAATTTTATGGAAAAAAAAATTTTAGACTTTAACTAGAATTTATGCATTTTCTGGGAAGATATTATATGCTGTTATGTTCCCATTCATAAACATGGCAGAGAACTTCCTATCTTTAGGTCACCTTAAATGTCTTCTAATAAAATTTTACAAATTCCTCCAAAAAGGTCTTTCACATCTTGTCCTAAGAAACCTTACATTTTTTGTGGCTATTATAAATGTAATTTTAAAAAGCTACTATTAAAACTTTGGTTCTAGTGAATTGAAATGCAATTGATTTTTTAATATTCAGTGGAAGAATTTTGTGAGTATTTTTTTTTTTGAGACAGATTTTCACTCATGTTGCCCAGGATGGAATGCACTGGCACAATCTCAGCTCACTGCAACCTCCACCTCCTGGGTACAAATGATTCCCCTGCCTCAGCCTCCCAAGTAGCTGGGATTACAGGCATGTGCCACCATGCCTGGGTAATTTTGTATTTTTAGTAGCAATGGGTTTTCTCTATGTTGGTCAGGCTGGTCTTGAACTGCTTACCTCAGGTGATCCACCTGCTTTGGCCTCCTATGGATTTTTTTTTTTTTTTTTTTTTTTTTTGGTCTACTCTTTCACTGTGGGTGTAATGGAATAGTCAGTAACGAAAGTACTAGGAAATGTAGGACTATGTTAGTGAGAGCCCATTTGACAACTGAGGATTGACATACTGAGGGAGTCAGAGAGACAGCTGGAAGGAGGCTCTTTTAAACAACCAGCTCTTGGGTGAACTAATAGAGCAAGAGCTCACTCATTATCACAGCGGAGGGCACAAAGCCATTCTGGAGGCACCTGCCCCAAAGACTCAAATACCTACTGCTGGGCCCCACCTCCAACACTGGGGATCAAATTTCAACAGATTTGGAGGGAACAAATAAAACAGAAAAAGGCAAAATGAATGAAAAGATGCATAATTCTAATAATCAGAATTTATTTTAAAAATCAAATGGTCATTCTAAAACTAAAAAACATGTCTGAAGTTAAGATTTCATTTGATATACTTAAGAGTAGACTGGACACAACATAAAACAAAATTAGTAAACTTAAAGTACAACATGAAACTCACTGTAATAAATTAAAACAATACAGCTATGGATAGAGTAAAAACTTAGAATTCTCCATCTCCTCCCCTAAAACCATTCCACAAGACAAGGCATGAATTGTCTTACAGATATACACATATATATGTACACATAAACATATATACAACATATATTAAATAATCGGACAGCTAGAACAGAATGGATAGTTGCTAAGCAACTTGCACTTTTTCTTTTTTACTTAATAATAAGTGTTAGGAGCCAGGTATGCCTAGGTGGGAAGATCACTTGAGCCCAGGAGTTCTAGGCTGCAGTGAGCAAGGATGGAGCCACTGCACTCTAGCCTGGGTGACAGACCAACACCCTGTGTCTCAATAATAATGATGATGATAATAATAATAAATCTTGGAGGGCATTTTCTTCTTAGTATGTACAGATATACTTTGATATACTTTATTCTACATAATATCTCATTCCCTTAGTCACTGTTAGGTCATTTACTATTTTTACTATGAAACAAAGTTATGATGAATATCCTTGTACATCCTTCTGAACACATGTGCAAGTATTTCTCTAAAGTAGATTCCCAAAAGTGGAAATGCTTGGTTAAAGGGTACATGTATTTAACATTTTTTTTTTTTTTGAGACGGAGTTTCGCTCTTGTTACCCAGGCTCGAGTGCAATGGCGCGATCTCGGTTCACCACAACCTCCGCCTCCTGGGTTCAAACAATTCTCCTGCCTCAGCCTCCCAAGTAGCTGGGACTATAGACAGGCACGCTCCACCATGCCCAGCTAATTTTTGTATTTTTAGTAGAGACAGGGTTTCACCTTGTTGACCAGGATGGTCTCGATCTCTTGACCTCGTGATACACCCGCCTCGGCCTCCCAAAGTTCTGAGATTATAGGCGTGAGCCACCACGTCTGGCCGAACATTTTAATATATATTTCTCTGGTACCATCCAAAAAGGGAAACGAGGGTGGGGAGGGGGAAGGGAGGAAGTCTACCAAATTGCCCCCAGAAACCGCCAAGGAGATTAGTTACTAACCTGGACTCTCCTCTTTCCTGCCCTAAACATCTCTCTCCCTCATTCTCCTCATAATGTATCTTTGCTCAAACCTCCTACTGCACCAATAGCCCCATCCCCACTCAAACACGCACATTCTTGGCCAATATCTCACCAACTATTTGTAGTAGGGAAAAAAAAGGTCAGCAAAGGCAAACTTTCTCAGCCTTCTATCCCCAAAACCTACAACACCTAGTAACTATCCCCTTCCTGTCTTCCTTCCCTTCTAATATAATGGGAGTGGGGAGCAAGTCCTTCCTCCTGTCTAAAGGCAATCCTGGTTGAGAGGGTCCTTACTTCACAAAGGGCTGGCTCCACTGACCAAAGTTCTCAGCTTCCACCCTCTCCTCAGCTAACCTCTAACTAGTTTCTGTCCTCACAGCTCCCCAAGGCTTACGCTGGGCAGAATTCAGGTCCTTATCTTAGGTGACTAGTGCTGACTCCCTACTTCTGACAACTCTTTTCATAATGCCACTCTGCTGATTTTCCTCCCCACACTCTCTGGCACTTCTTTCTCACTCCTCCTCCAGTCCTCAGGCACTTCTTGTCCAAACCTTAAAAACTGAGTTTGCGTTTTCCGTCCTGGGCCTTGTGTTCTTTCCCCTGAGAGATGTCAACCACTGCCCACGTGCAGCTACCACCACCCTCTGTCTTCTCTCTCATCTGCATCCTCAGCCAGAGCGCCCACAAGTCCCAATTTGACTTCACTTTCTGGCATTCCGCCCCGCCTTCCCTCCACTCCTCCCCTAACCCGCTAATTTAGTCCCTCCTTCGGGAAGTCTTCCCTGACTCCTCCCCCTTTTAACTACCCACGTTGGTCCGAGTCTGCGCCACGCGTGTCCATTACCTCGCAGACCTGAGGAATGTAGTTCTCCTTGAAGTAGTTCTTCAGCCTCGGGTTGGCATTGCGTAGCGAGGCCATGGTCCGAGGCCTGACGGAGAAGCTGCGCTCATCCCCTCCCCGCGCGGGAACTAGGGGGCCTGGCGCGAAGGGCGTTGTCCTGACAACCACGGGGCGGGGCGGAGTCGCCCCGCGCTCCACAGCCCTATGCGGGAGGGAGGGAGGCTCGCTTTACGCCCCGGGAGAAGCGACGCGTAAGCCGGCTTAGGGTTGCCGGCGGCGCCGACGTCTCCGCGTGGGGCGCGTGGTCCCAGCTGCTCCTCCCGGCGTCCAGCGCACCACCCGCCTCACCTGGTGAAAGCCTCCGGGATGCGCCCGGCCCTAGTGGGCGGTTATAGGTTTTGAGCTGGGCGGTTTCCGGGAGGCGGAGCTCAGACCCCCATTTCCTTTCTCCACAACCTAGTAGCTCTCCGGCTGCTGTGGCGGCGAGGCCCGCCTGTTCTGAAGATATCTGCGCTGGCCCAGACTAGCCTCCTGCTCGGGCCTGGCCCTGCGGCTCTGCCGCGGCGGCAGCATGGGTGGCGCCCGGGGCGTGGGCTGGGTGGCGGCGGGCCTACTCCTCGGCGCCGGCGCATGCTACTGCATTTACAGGCTGACGCGCCGTCGGCGGCGGGGCGACCGCGGGCTCGTTCTGCGCCCCTCGCAGTCCGCAGGTGAGACCGCCGGGTGCTGGAACTGGGCTGAAGGGCTCCCCAGGCCCGAGTGGTGGCTTGTGTGTCCTTGAGGTAAAATGAGGAGCCGAGCTAGAGGGAGAGGCGATACTTGCGTGGGTGCAGGGTGCTGCGTCGCCCCGCTGCGCCTTTGTTCGCTATACCGGCATGAAAACTTGTCCATGCTTCTTTGTTCACTATACTGACATGAAAACTTGTCCGAGCTTTCCGGCCCGAGCGCCGCGTCACAGTGGAGGATTAGGTTTCTTAAAAGCCTGTTGATGGCCTCTCTTCAAAGCGTGCTCCGGGCCTTTGTGTAACTAAAGGGATTCTCCAGATTGTGGAAAGGCTGTTGAGGGGCCGGGAGCGGTAAGTGAAGCTCTGCTTTCAGGTTCCCTGGAAGAAGGGACGCCAGAGGGACAGTTGTGCGGGCGCTCGGCCCGGCCTTAGAGGGGAGGTCCCTGGGAGTCACAGTGGTCCAAGACCTCGAAGCCTGATGTGTGTTTTGGAAATGGGAACAGTTGTCTGCGCGAGACACACCCTCCTAGGGGACAAATGCGTGATTCGGTTTCTGTCCAAAAGTTGAATGGTACGTTAAAACTCTCAGAAAGGATATTTCACATCATGGAAGCTGTTAGGGAAATAATTTAAAGTATCACATCTGCCATCCAAGAAACTCCTGTCCACAACTGCAGAAGAAAACTAAACAGCTTCATTGTTAAATAAGCACAAACTAGATTGCCTCACCATCTCGGGCAATTTGCTAATGGGCACCTGGTTCCACATCATAAAGATATTTTTACTTTTGCCCTGGATGAAGGCAATTAGCTAACACAACTAGAGAGAGAGCCTGTCTCAAAAATAATCTCATACTGATTTTATATAACTTCAAATAACTTTCTTCTTATGCAGAAGACTTAACTGATGGTTCGTATGACGATGTCCTGAATGCTGAACAACTTCAGAAACTCCTTTACCTACTTGAGTCAACTGAGGATCCTATAATTATTGAAAAAGCTTTGATTACTTTGGGTAACAATGCAGCCTTTTCAGTTAACCAAGTAAGTACCTCGACTCAGTAAGCAGACTCCTTCCATTCTTACACACTAGCAGTAATTGTGACCTTGTATAAATTAACCTTTCAGAGCTTCAGTTTCCTCATCTGTTCAATGTGGCTACTTAAACTGATAACATAATGTTTATTTACTTCTGAAAAACACAGCCTAATAGTAATATGATTAATAATGTGATTGTAGATCCCTATGAAGTTTGTCACTGGCATCACATTCATATTAAGTATGTCTAATCAACATTTAGCATTTCATGGCCTTTTAAATTATTTGAAATTCAGCAGTGCTTAATAAAACAATGAACACATCTAACATGTAAGTACATTAAATTGTATATAGGTCTTATGAGTATGGTTCTGATGCAGCTGGTCCCTGGACCACACTCTGATAACCACTAATCAATGTGAATGGCTTCTGCATGGAGACTTTAAGAGCTTAATTTGAGCACTTCCTTCTTCCTACTCTAATTCACAAGCCTCCAGCATGAAAAAATAGTTTAAAATTTTTTTGTAATTGTTTTCATCTAATCCCCTTTGTTAACATTATCATAAGTACAAAATTATTTTGAATTTATAGGGTTTTTTTAGCCCAGGTTTCTCCAGAATGGAAAGGATTACTGTAAAGCTCTATAGATGTATAGGGAGGTAGAGAATCTTTGTGCATTATCTACTCTTTCAGTTATAAATGACAGAATTCAACTTAAATTATTTTAAGCCAAAGAGAGAAAATACTGAGCTCAGCTGACTTGAACAGTGAAGAACAGCATTGGTTACAGGTACAACTGAGTCCATTTCAAGGTTGCAGGAAGAATAACCAGAGTTCCCTCTTTCTCTATCTTTTGGCTTTGGTATGGCCACTGCATTTTATTTACTGGCCTTTATTTTTCTGGCCACAAAGTGATTTTCTTGACACGGGTTGAAAGAAAGCCACTAGCCTCTCTAAGCATTCATCTCTGTAGCTTATGATCCAAAAGGTACAGTTGTTCTAGGATCCAATGCTAACCCTTTGGATCAATCTCCGGGGCAATCTCTGGATTAGTCAAGGTACCATGACCCATGTTTAGTGAGGCCTGGCTCACCTGAGCAGCCTACAGCTAAGTAGCAGGGATGGCTGTGAATACAACTGAACAACGATCCCAGCAGGGACTGTGTGGGACAGAGGAGATGCCACATCTGCCTCTGTAGAAAGAGGGCCACTAGACAAGCAAAAACAATAGATAGTGATTAATGTGTTAGCCTGCCTTTAAAGTATTTCTGATGGCATAATTTTGTGTTCCTCTAAAATAAGTTGTATCGGAGTAGGCCAATACCCACTAGAGAAGAAGTACCTTCTTGAGCAGCGGGGGTTGGTGCTCTTACCATCAATGATAGTGCCTTAACCTGCTTTAACAGTAGAGTTGAAAAAAAAGCAACGTGGTTTCTAGAAACTGCAGGTCCTTCGAAAGAACTTGAAATTGTAGAGGGAATGTTTATTACTCTTTTGATGCTAAGGTTACCGTTAACAGTAAAATGGCATATAAGAATTAAAGCAATTTAATTCTTCAATGTTTGGGCCAAAGACACATGGTAACATAGTATTGCAACTAACTGTAAAAAAAATCCCAGATTATTTTTCCTCTGAATATTTGGGCACCATTTTTCTTCTTCTACTACTTCTTCCTCCTCCTCCTCCTTCTCTTCTTCCTCTTGTTCTCTTTTTTTTTTTTTATTTTGAGGCACAGTCTCACTCTGTTACCCAGGCTGCATTTCAGTGGCACAATCTCGGCTCACTGTAACCTCGTCCCAGGTTGAAGTGATTCTCCTGCCTCAACCTCCCAAGTAGCTGGGATTACAGGCACCCACCACTGTTACTGGCTAATTTTTGTATTTTTAGTAAAGACAGGGTTTCACCATGTTGGCCAGGCTGGTCTTGAACTCCTGACCTCAAGTGATCCGCCTGCCTCGGCCTCCCAAAGTGCTGGGATTACAGGTGTGAGCCACCACGCCTGGCCCTGGGTACCATTTTTCAAACTGCATGGAACCTGATTCTGCAAGATGTCAGTGTGTTCCCACCACTTCCACTGCTGAAAAATGACCCTCTTTTTGTGTATAGTTCATAGACATACTATCAACAACATACGCCTCTTGAATATTCCCAATGCACATGAACATATTAAAGAAACATGCTTAGTCTTCTTTTACTCAGGTTTTCCTAAACTTACATAACTGTGGGAAACCACCCTCCCCCTTATTTTTATGGAACATCTATTAACATTTTGAGGGATTGGTGTTTAAAATAACACAGGTCAGCAAAACACTACTTTAGTATTCTAAATCATAGCACTTTTCCAGTTTTGCCTATAATGGAGAAGTTATTTAACTTATCTCAAAGAAAAATAATTTTGTTTGTAAGTTGCTTCAAGATCATTATAGTACCTCTGAATTTTTATTGTATTTCTCAACACTGGAGTTTAAATAATTATATATCTTAATAATTTTATTTTCAGTGGATTTTCTTTACCTATAAAAATATGAAGCCTGGCTCCTTGGCTCACGCCTGTAATCCTAGCACTTTGGGTGGCTGAGGTGGGTGGATCACCTAAGGTGAGGAGTTTAAAACCAGCCTGGCCATCATGGTGAAACCCCATCTTTAAATAAATAAATAAATAAATAAATAATTTTTTTTTTTTTAAGTATAGGTAGTGACATTTTTTTAAAAATAGAAATTAGGGCCGGGTGCAGTGGCTCACACCTTTAATCCCAGCACTTTAGGAGGCCAAGGTGGGCAGATCACCTGAGGTTAGGAGTTTGAGACCAGTCTCAACTTAAAAAAATACAAAATTAGCTGGGCCTAGTGGCACATGCGTGTAATCCCAGCTACTCAGGAGGTTGAAGCAGGAGAATTGCTTGCACCCAGGAGGCAGAGGTTGTGGTGAGCTGAGAATGTGCCATTGCACACCAGCTGGGTGACAAGAACAAAACTGCATCTCAAAAAAAGTAGGAATTAAATATTTCTATATGGGAAAGGTATTTCCAAAAAGGCATTAATTTTTAATTGTATTTGTGGATGCGAAGAATTCAGTGAACTAAAGTCCCTTTAGCATACTAGAGTCTCAGTCCTGGTTGTTTTTTTTTTCCCCTCCTAGGCTATTATTCGTGAATTGGGTGGTATTCCAATTGTTGGAAACAAAATCAACCATTCCAATCAGAGTATTAAAGAGAAAGCTTTAAATGCTCTTAACAACCTGAGTGTGAATGTTGAAAATCAAATCAAGATAAAGGTAAGTTGCCTGAAAATCCCAAATGTATAAGGTTTTCCATAAATGAAAGAGAAAATAACAAAAAGATGAGTAATGAAACTTTAGTAGACGATCCTTTGTAACTTTACAGCCAAGGATTACCTTTAGAGGAATGGAGAATAAGACAGAGGAGGGAGGAACCTGAAGTAGCTAATAAGAGGTACAATAAGACTTTTTTTTTTTTAGTACAATAATGCTTGTTTATTCTGTAGGTTATCCTCTACTTTATACCAGGGACAGCAGTGGCCTTAAGGTTATAGGCACAAACCAAATAGTGGATGTAGTTGGCTGAAAGTTAGGACAAGACTGTATCAATTAGAACTAGAATTACGAGAGATTCATTTAAAGAGCATATTCAATGCTGCATATTCATAAATATGGTCATCATACAGTTTGGCTTGTTTTGCCTTTGAAATTAAGTGAACTGTATCAGTGTATTGTGGAATGTTAAGTCACTGCATGCTTTAGCTCTTTCAATGGATGAGGCAAATGTGCAAATAGATTCAGCTGACTTTACAGAATAACTGTTCCTTGATCTAGTTTTATGGGGAGAAATCGTGCACTTTAGGATACATATAAAATGCTAACCTACATTACTGACCTTGCTTTAATGCTTTTTTCAAAAATGTTATTTATAAGATAGTTAACTCGTGAAAAAATAGCCTGGAAAATGCTAACAGTAAAAACACTCCAGCCTTGGCATATATAGTCAGAACCCAGTGATACCCCTCAGTTATAGAAAAAAGCTGTGTTTTCTGTTTACTAATGAAACAGGACCCCCATGTTCAAACCAGAAATTGTCATTCAACACAACAAATCAAGTCAAGAGAATCATGAAACAAGAAACAGGAGGATGTGCTCGTATGAAGAAAAAAACAACAAATAACCAAACTTTACTTCCTTGAACATGAGATTGATAGCAAGATTTCTAAGAGGTCATCTCTGTATTTAGTTTAGATAAAGACTTCCAGCCCAGAACACTGTTAGGAAGTAACTATGAGGAGCTTTGCAGAAGTGATGAGAGGCAAGTACTATACAGACTAGAAAATTTAATTTTTTACAGAATTTATAACAGATTACTATGCTATGAAGCAAAAGCAGGCTTAACATCAATAAAAATATATGACCCCCATCACACAAACAGCTAACTCTAAATCTACTTTGAAAATCTAATCAGTCAAGAAGTATTATCTGTTTGGAGGCTGTGTACCAAGTGTCAAAGATAAGTCTGCTGTCCTCACAGGAATATATGGGGTCTTTGACAATCAATTAGAATATCTAGTGAAGCAGATATTCTAATATTTGGGGAAATCTTGGAAAACTATTAAAGTATTCTGGAAATTACATATTTTTGCCCTTCCACAAGTCTTACAGATCCAGATGCAATTAGTTTGGTATAGGTATTTTTTTTTTTAGACGAAACCTCGCTCTGTCACCCAGACTGGAGTGTAGTGGTGCAGTCTTGGCTTGAACTGCCTCCCACGTTCAAGCGATTCTTCTGCCTCAGCCTCCCAAGTAGCTGGGACTACAGGTGCATGTCATCACGCCCGGCTAATTTTTGTATTTTTAGTAGAGGCGGGGTTTCACCATATTGGTCAGGCTGGTCTTGAACTCCTGACCTCGTGATCCACCCACCTTGGCCTCCCAAAGTGCTGGGATTACAGGCATGAGCCACTGCACCCAGCCTGAATAGGGGTCTTTATTAGTCCAGAAAATCTTTAGAATTCAATATAGTTATGGCTAATCAGAGACTAAAAAACCTTTATAAAGGTAAGTAGGATTGGAAATCAAGCACTCTTATTTTGAATTAGCATGTTTTAATCAAAGGTATAGAATTAGTCAAGTATCAGTTCACAATTCTGGAATGCATCCCAATGTCAAAAGACCACTAACATGCTATTTTGTATTATGAAGACTTCTCAATTTGAAATAGAAGGTAAAAAAAATATTGCCAGCCATAAAATGAATTTTACTCTACTTCCTCAGCTCTCCAAAGAAAAATCTTACTTTTTTCACATAAGAAACTCACTGGATCAAATAAATGTTAATTAAAGAAAAGATTGTGTAAGTAAAACTGGACAGAAGACAACCGCTGAAATCCATGAAAAAATTAATCATCAAAAGAATCATTTTTACAGTAGCCCCTTTGCTGTGAGAAATACTTATATGAGCCTTGGCCACGTCTCCAACATATAATGAGAACATATTACAGATTTCAATCAACCAATTTCCATTCCAGCTTGACAGGGTGCTGCAAATTGCTGAGATTCCTCCTTGGTTGAGGAAAATAGAGTAACTCCAATTTTACTAGACTCTTTTGCCATGGTGTTCCATGTGTTTATTTCAGTAGTACCACTGTTGCCAACACCTATTACTCATCTTCCATATTACAAACAATTCACATCTTTACTAAGATTTATATTAGCTAATATTTCAATAATCGGATCAATTTCTAACCAATACATTTCTTAATTTCATCAACATAATTCTTTGTAATTAAACATTTTGTGGGCTCCATTTTGCGAAAGTCTTTTGTCCCTCTCATTACCAATTGTGCCCAAAACCTTTAGGCCAGAAACTCTAGCAATTTGGCATGTTGCTAACCCAGCTCCTTTACTAGCCCCATGAACCAAAACACTCCAGCATTCATACAAACACTGAATCAGAGCTTCATATGCAGTAAGATGTGGGATACCAATGGCAGCATTTTAAAGTCCAGTTTTTCAGACACTTTGTAGACAGTGTGATCTGCTACAAGAGCATACTCCTCATGGCTTCCAGAGATTGTGCTGGTAGTGAAAACTAACTTTTTTTTTTAAAGTAAGTTCATTACCTCCAACACCTTTCATCACCCCAGTTACGTCTGAGTCAGCAGTATAGAATAAGGTGGTTTTCTATTGTAGGTACCAGAGTAAATGTATATATATGTATGCATGTGGTTGACACCACACACATGAACCTTGATTACACTTGATGGTATTTTGGAATTGGTACTGCAACATCTGACTGAGTTTCAGGACTTCTGGTCTACCAAATTCAAACACTAACAGCTCTTACCAGCTTCTGTTCAGTTTCCATGGTCATCTAGATAAAAGCTTTAGAGTGGGAATCAAAATCTCCAAGGGCTCCTTCATACTCCACTGAAGGAAGCTGGCCAGGCTGCTTCTATCTTTTGCAGCCAGTAAGACTTTCGGAGTTGGGGTTCAGTTTAAGGGTGCTAAAGGAACGAAGCCAGGGTCAGATAATGTCAGCAGAAAAATGCAATATTAGGAAATTATATTATTTCAATTCAGTATTTAACTCCTGCTTTGTGGTGCAGAGTATACAAATGAACATGATGCAACTCTTGTTAAGAAAGGCGGAAAGAAGGATAAAACAAGTCCTTAAATAGTTGTAAGCTAAGGCAGAACATAATGAAGTGCTTTCAGGAAAAAAAATGTAAGTAAAACATTATTGAGTACATAGATTTGATCCAAAAGTTTCTGTAAGAGGTAGAGTCTGACCTGACTCTTGAGAATGTCTAAGGTTACTGTACAGGTAGCGTTGGGAAAGGAGAGAATTCCAAGAGAATGGAACAAGATGAGGTGGACACAGCTGCAGGAATAACTAAGCTAGTCCATTTGGTAATCTTGTCATTAGAATTGAAATGGTAAAAAGATTCAGATATAATAAAGATGTAAACAGTCCACACATTTTAGGAAATACTTTGAAAGACATCAGCATCTTACAGAAATATATGATTTATAAAAAGTGGTCGGGCGTGGTGGCTCAAGCCTGTAATCCCAGCACTTTGGGAGGCCAAGGCTGGTGGATCACTAGGTCAAGAGATCAAAACCATCCTGGTTAACATGGTGAAACCCCGTCTCTACTAAAAAAAATACAAAAAATTAGCTGGGCATAGTGGCGCGTGCCTGTAATCCCAGCTACTCAGGAGGCTGAGGCAGGAGAATTGCCTGAACCCTGGAGGCGGAGGTTGCGGTAAGCCGAGATTTCACCATTGCACTCCAGCCTGGGTAACAAGCGAAACTCCATCTCAAAAAAAATAAATAAAAATAAAGCTAAATAAATGCCATGTTTTTAAAGGAAGGGTGTGTAATTAAATTGTAACTAAGGAGAATCAGTTCACTTTCAAATGTAAATTAGGGCCAGGTACTGTGGCTCACACTTGTAATCCCAACACTTTGGGAGCCAAGACGGGAGATTGCTGGAGGCCAGGAGTTCAAGACTAGTCTGGGCAACATAGTGAGACTCATTTTTTTTTTTTTTTTTTTTTTGAGACGGAGTTTCGATCTTGTTACCCAGGCTGGGGTGCAATGGCGCGATCTCAGCTCACCACAACCTCCGCCTCCTAGGTTCAGGCAATTCTGCCTCAGCCTCCTGAGTAGCTGGGATTACAGGCACGCGCCACCATGCCCAGCTAATTTTTTGTATTTTTAGTAGAGACGGGGTTTCACCATGTTGACCAGGATAGTCTCAATCTGTTGACCTCATGATCCACCCGCCTCAGCCTCCCAAAGTGCTGGGATTACAGGCTTGAGCCACCGCGCCCGGCCAAGACCCTATTTCTTTAAAAATATATATATATAGCTGGGTATAGTGGCATGCGCCTGTAGTCCCAGCTATTCAGGAGACTGAAACCAGAGGGAAATTGAGGCTGCAGTGAGCTGTTATGCCACTGCACTCCATCCTGGGTGACAGGGTGAGACCCTGTCTCTAAAAAGAAATAAATGTAATTTAGATGTAGAAACCAGATTTAAAGTTTAATCTCTCTTTGCTTTACTACCATTTTAGTTTCTGTGGTAACATGGATACATTTGGGAATTTTTTTTAAATAATTGTTTATGCAACAATTGGTAACTTCTTGCCACTTCAAATTAGGAAAATTTTCTCACCAGTTAGAACTTTTGGTAGAGTTCAGATTTGCTTAGGTGAATATCAGTAATCTGTAAAATGTCATTTTTTCTAAACTAGAAATCTCATGGCCAGGCTGGGCATGGTGATGCACACTTATAATCCCAGCACTTTGGGAGGCTGAGGCAGACAGATCACTTGAGCTCAAGAATTTGAGACCAGCCTGGGCAACGTGGTGAAACCCTGTCTGGTGGCTCACGCCTATAGTCCCAGCTACTTTGGAGGATGAGGAAGGAGGATCACTTGAGCCTGTGAGGTCAACGCTACAGTGACCCTGAGGTTGTACCACTGCAGCCTGTGCAGCAGAGTGAAAGTCTGTCCTCTCCAAAAAAAGAAAGCTCATGGCCAGACACAGAAAATCATGTTTCAGAAAAGTTTCCATCACACTGCGTTTAGTTCTGTTATGTATGATACAAGAGTACTACACTATTGCATTACTTTTTACCAGTGATAGTTAACAGTATTATGAAGGGATAAATTATATACATATACCTAGGTAAATAAGAAGCTTGGGCCAGGGATAATTTTGCTCTGCTTACTTTTGATAGGATTAACTCTAGGAAAAGATTCTGTTTCACATTTTCCTCCCATTCTTTACTTCTGAAATGATAGCGCTTTCTAGACCCTACTGCTAAGGAAGGTACTTACCATGATACAAAATGACCTCACATCTTCCCTGATCCTAGTGTGCTCAGGCCAGTTGAAACAGAAATGTGGACTAAGTTGGGACGCCTCCAACCAGAGAGAGTCCACTGATGTTAAGAGCATGATCTCTGGGCTTGCATATTGCTTCCCCACCTGCTATCTTGACATTGGGTAGGGGACCCAACCTCCTTGAAGACTTAAAGTGCTGCAAGATAGCCATAATATTACAACACTCACCTCATTAGAGTTGTCTTCAGGATTAAGTGAGGTATATTTGTAAAATGCTAAACACAGTACCTGGAATTACCAAAGGAAGCTTTTAAAAAGTCACCAACATGGGCCAGGCGCGGTGACTCACACCTGTAATCCCAGCACTTTGGGAGGCCGAGGCGGGTGGATCACGAGGTCAAGAGATGGAGACCATCCTGGTCAACATGGTGAAACCTGTCTCTACAAAAAATTAGCTGGACATGGTGACGTGTGCCTGTAATTCCAGCTACTCAGGAGGCTGAGGCAGGAGAATTGCCTGAACCCAGGAGGCGGAGGTTGCGGTGAGCCGAGATCGCGCCATTACACTCCAGCCTGAATAACAAGAGCGAAACTCTGTCTCAAAAATAAAATTAAATAAATAAATAAAGTCACCAACATTTGAGGGCTAGATATCTTTTGAGGAGTCAGTTCCATCCTGAGCAATAGCCCTACTCCACTGGGCAAAAAAGTGGCTCCTTAGTAAAAGAATTTTGGAGATTCTCATATGCTCATTTTCCTCCCCTGTCTTCAGATATACATCAACCAAGTCTGTGAGGATGTCTTCTCTGGTCCTCTGAACTCTGCTGTGCAGCTGGCCGGACTGAGATTGTTGACAAACATGACTGTTACCAATGACCACCAGCACATGCTTCACAGTTATATTACAGACCTGTTCCAGGTGTTACTTACTGGAAATGGAAACACGAAGGTAGGAAGAGCTATTGTGTCAAGCTTATTAAGATTAAAATAGGATTTGCAAGCCACCTTATCTTAAGTTGATGTGCCTAAAGGTGAGGAAGATTTATTAAAAACTCACATGGGCCCAAGAAAGTATATTATTTGTAGTCCCAAATAGTCCATTGCAAAATTAACTTGTGAAAATCATCTGCTTTTTCACTTATCATTTGGTTTTCTGAGAAGCTAGCTTCCCCCCAACAAATATAGGAACATTGTGATTAAAAGAAATCTTTGAGTAATAGTAGTGGTTAGTTGAATATTTTGCTTACCTCAGGGTTAACAAATCATTTTTTATTTAGTTATTATTTGTTGAAAAGTCTTTCTAAAACAACTTTTAAGCTGTAGTAAATGAAGTGAATTGAATATATGAAGGATGTCTCAGTGCTTCACTCTGTCCATTTAGGTTGATTTTTAAGAGGCAACAGATACTGAGCTGAATTAAATAGGACCTTAGGAGATGCCCTATGAAAAGTTTCTTGAGTAAATCTCTCATATTAATATGTATTCTTATCAATTGCCATTTTTCAAGAAAAAGTAGGGTAAAATGGATTGTAGGCTGATTAAAAGTTCTGGTAAGTTGGGTTGATTGTTCATCAAGGCTTTCTGCCATGTTGGTCTGTGTTCTCTGGAACAATTGAGAGAAAAATGCATAAGCATTTTAAACAGACCAAATGTGAGGCCATACTCCAAATATTCAACATCACTGCAGTTATTTTCGAGGTTATCAAGATATGATAACAGGAGAGCCTCACTGTAGTCCTGCTTTTATGTTTTTAAGGTGTTTGTACATGGACTTTCCTCTTTTCCAGTAGCCAAATTTGTTTGGATCTGGTCCAAGCAAAACTGCACCATTCCTGGGCGGTTTCCAACATGCATCAACATCTCTGACTCCAGTGGAGCAAGATAACTTCCAGGCCTTGAACCCCCATGGAAACTCCTTCCCTCTTTACTCATTGTTGTTGCCACTGTAGGAGAAATCTCTCCTCTGCCTGAATCTGCAGCTGCTTTACCCAGGACCTCAGGAGGAACTCTGAGTTCAGAACCAGGCTGAGTTCAGCCAGGCAAATCTGGCCTTGGGGCTATATATGTCTGAGACATCAACTGTATATGTCTGAGACATCAAAAAATGTTTTCATACATTTTTTGACTTTTTAAAAAATGACCCACACCACAATAGTATGTTCTATTTTTGTTTTGTTGTGTTGTGTTTTTCCATTACATTGCTTAGTACGGTATTTCTAGGGTAAAAAATATGCTTTCTTGGTCTGCCTTGGAACATAGCCACCAATTATAACATTAATTTTCCATAAAAATTGAGTTTAAAGTTCCAACTTGCAAATAAACTTTTGGACAGTCATCTGTTTGTTAGTGGGAAAGTGTATCTGATTTAGGTATTTTCTTAGTAAATAACCACTAAAATGACTTTTAAAATACCTTAATTTGCTTAAGTCAGGGATTTCACTGTACCATAATAACCTTTTGGGTACACCACTGATTGATAACTAAATACAGATAGTGGAGGATGTATATAAATAAACTGTGTGCTTGTTACATTTGCAATGAAAACAAATAAAACTAATAGTTTAAAATGTCCTAGTGTCACCACAAGATGGTGCATATGACAAGAGGGAAAAAATGTCTTTTATTTATTTATTTATTTATTTTTTTGAGACAGAGTCTCACTCTGTCACCCAGGCTGGAGTGCAGTGGCATGATCTCAGCTCACTGCAGCCTCCACCTCCCGGGTTCAAGTGATTCTCCTGCCTCAGCTTCCTGTGGCTCATGCCACCACACCCCATTAATTTTTTGTATTTTTAGCAGAGACGGGGTTTCACCATGTTGGTCAGGCTGGTCACAAACTCCTGACCTCGTGATCCGCCACCTCAGCCTCCCAAAGTGCTGAGATTATAGGCTTGAGCCACCGAGCCCAGACAAAAGACATGTCTTAAGGTGGTTTCAAACCAAAATCTATATATTTGTTTAATCTGTAGTTGTATTCTAACTGTATGTATTTTTTCCTCATGTTTAACTCCCTTTTACAAAGAGTCGCAACATCAGACTTTAATACAGGATACCAAATAGCTATTGCTGTTGCTATTCCCTGGTTGTATACCTGCCCTCATTGACTATTAGTGGGTCTTAGATTTTGACTTCATCCAGGCTTATTTCCTAAGTTCAGGTTCATCCTATTTCATACCTCTTGTTCCTGTTTTTCTGATTGAAACGTCATTGACATTGGAGCCAGGTGTTTTTTTCCTAACAGTTATTCCTAGTGTTGCTGATGGCCGGTCAGGCCAGATGAGATCTGATAGTAACCTCCATGGAGTGCACTAAAGGGTGGTCAGAAATCTCCTTTACTCTTTGATCTCCAGAGGCCATAATTTATTAAGAGCCTCTGTTTGAAAAAGACAGTCTCTGCATATTCAAGAAATGTTACCAGTTGTCACCGCTGAGGATGGGAAGGGGTCAATAGCATGATGGCTTTTGTTTTTACCTTGTTCTCTTTTGTACTACCTAAATTTTTATCATGACCAAGTAGTAATTTTCTAAAAATAAAAATAAATAAGTTCATCAAAACAGTAAAATTAAGCAAAGCATTATGTCATCCTCAAATAAATTAGTATCTACAACATGGTCAAAGGAATTGTGAATACATAAGATACATGCATAAAGACCAGAAAGAAAATAACTTTTCTTTTTCTTTTTTTCTTTTTAATTGAGATGGAGTTTTGTCCTTGTTGCCTAGGCTGGAGTGCAGTGGCATGATCGCAGCTCACCACCACCTCTGCCTCCCAGGTTCAAGCGATTCTCCTCCTTCAGCCTCCCAAGTAGCTGGAATTACAGGCATGCGCCACCACACCTGGCTAATTTTGTATTTTTAGGAGAGACGGGGCTTCTCTATGTTGGTCAGGCTGGTCTTGAACTCCCAGCCTCAGGTGATCTGCCCACCTCAGCCTCCCAAAGTGCTGAGATTACAGGTGTGAGCCACCGCACCCAGCCTTCCCTTTTTTTGACATAGAATCTCACTCTGTTGCCCAGACAGGATTGCAGTGGTATGATCTCAGCTTACTGCAGCCTTGAGCTCCCAGGCCTAAGCAATCCTTCTGCCTCAGCCTCCCAAGTAGCTGGGACTTCAAGCCTATGTCACCACTCCTGGCTAATTTTTGTATTTTTTTGTAAAGGTGGGGTTTTGCCATGTTTCCTACGTTGCTCTTGAACTCCTGAGCTCAAGTGATCTGCCCACCTTGGCCTCCAGAAATACTGGGAATCCAGGCATGCGCCACTGTGCCTGGCCAAAAATACCAAAACTTAATCATAATTTCTGGTTATGGAAATATGGGTGAATTTCCTTTTTCTTTCTGCTTTTCTGTTTTTTTGAAAGTGCTATGGTAAACATCTGTCACCTTTGTAATAAAAAAAATTTTCTAAAATAATATCCAGGTTCCTTCCCAGCTCTAGTGAAGAGCACATTTGTCACATATCCCTGAGTTAGTTACCCACTCCACTCTCCTTACTTTAGTTCCAAGTATCTTATGGAAAGCACAGTTTCATATGGCCTTTGCTTTTAGAAGAGCCATTCTATTTGAGTCTTTTTGTTACTAACTTTTTGTTGTAAGTCATAAGAATGCTGATATTTTAGCTACTCAGCTATTAAATAACATTTACTTGCTTATTATTTATATAATTGCTGGGTGTGGTAGCTCATGCCTGTAATCCTAGTTACTTTGGGAGGCCAAGGTGAGGGAATTGCTTGAGGCCAGAAGTTCAAGACCAGCCTCAGCAATTTAGTGAGACACCCCCCCCTACCCCCACCATCTCAATCATTCGAGCAATCAGTTTTTAATCAATCTGCTTTTTTATACAGTTGTAAAACACTTTCACATTGAAAGATAACCTCAAAGATTCATAGTAGCTTATTAAAAGGGGTCATATTGTTACTTATTTAGTCTTGGTAACGAAACAGTTGCAGAATTTTTACACCTTAAGTAGAAATGAGCTGAGCTTTGAGAGATTTTTTTGTTTGTTTTAAAGATTGTGTTTCTTTTCTAATTTTTGGAAAGATGGGGTCTCAGTTCTCACTGCATTGCCCAGGCTGGAGTACAGTGGCTATTCACAGATACAATCATGGCTCACTACATCCTTAAACTTATAGGCTCAAGGGATCCTCCCTCCTCAGCTTCCCAGGTACCTAAGACTACAGGCCCACACCACCATGCCTGGCCATATTTCACTTACCAGCTATCATAATGAAGATTGCGTATTTAACATTTGTTAAGCTTACCATCTGTTCAGGCATGTATGTGAGTTGGGGGTAGATTGTGAAGACATTTGCAAAATTCTATCTCCCTAACAGTATAATTGGGAAAAATGATGTTTAAATAACAGTGTGATAGAAGACCTCTATCTCTGTGATAGGTTCTCTAAGAGTGATGCAAGACATTTGCAATATTCTATGTCTCTAACAGTGTAATTGGAAACAGGAGGTTTAAATAACACTGCTCTGTGATAGGTTCTCTCCTGTCACAGAGTGGTGCCAAGTGTTATAAGAGTTCAGAATGAACCTAAAATGTAATTAAAAAAAAAAAGAAAAATAACAAATAAATAAATAAATTCTCACAATTAAAAAAAAAAAAGAGTTCAGAGTGAGACCCTTAAAGTAGAATAAATTGAGAAAGTTTCCTAGAGTAGAGAGACTATGAGCCAGGCCTGGAAGCTAGGCAGTACTTTTATAGGAAGACATGGTGAGAAAACAGCATGCCTGACAGGAAATTCATGCTTACAGTCTGAGAAAAGCCAATATCTTCTTATTTCAGGTGCAAGTTTTGAAACTGCTTTTGAATTTGTCTGAAAATCCAGCCATGACAGAAGGACTTCTTCATGCCCAAGTAAATAGCTTATATATTTATTTTGTAAATACAAACACATATATATTTGAGCAGACAGATCTGGAAAGAGAAAGATTTGGCCTAAAATGTTAACAGGGATTCTCTCTGAGAAGCAATATTAAAGGTGGTGGTTTTTTTTTCATTCCTTTTGTATATATGAATTTCCTAAATTTTCTACAGTAAGCATATTTTACTTTTGAAAAACAATTTTTTAAAATCACCCTAGCAACAATTATATATTAAAACTTTTTTTCTCTGCCCTATTTTGGGTACAGTTATACCATCCCATCTTTTATACTTGACCTGTTTGTGTTTATATGTATCTTAGTATCCACTGAAACAGCAGTACTGAGTCCCCAGCATGTGCTAGATGCTGGATGAGACACGAGTGAATGCAGCGTGACATGGTGCATGTCCTCATGGAGCTTACAGTCTAGTGGAGAGACAAAAATAATGTAACAAATGAACAAGGTAATTGAAAGCTGTGATAAGAGTTCTGAATGCTGAGATAGAATGGAGCTCAACTCCTGTAGAAAAGAAACCATTGTATTCATCTGCTTATCCCTGTTCCCCACCCAGTTCTGTGCCCTGTGGCATATAGGCACCAAATGTTTGATCAAATAATGAATTCACATGAAAACCGTATGACAGATCTTAAAGAGAAAATGGTGGTTTTTCCCAAATAACCACATTCTAAAATTCCAAGGAAATCATATTTTTCAGCTAAAACACTCCCTTTTTTTCATTAGTATACAATGTGGGGGTACATAAGGTTTTTTACATCTACATCTAAATTTCGCCATTTTAGGGTTAATTTTCTATGAGAAAATAATGGTTTTTTTATTTTGAGATGGAGTCTTGCTCTGTTGCCAGGCTGGAGTGCAGTGGCATGATCTCGGCTCACTGCAACCTCCGCTTCCCAGGTTCAAGCAATTCTCCTGCCTCAGCCTTCTCAGTAGCTGGAATTACAGGCACTCACCACCACACCCAGCTATTTTTTGTATTTTTAGTAGAGACAGGGTTTCACCATGTTGGTCATGCTAGTCTCGAACTCTTGAACTTGTGATCCGCCCGCCTCAGCTTCCCAAAGTGCTGGGATTACAGGCGTGAGCCACCACAACTGGCCTGACAAAATTTTTAAAATGTGAGATACTCCCATTTTTAATGTGAATTTTTAAATTTTTAAATGTGAGATATTGATAGTTTTAAAATATTAAAATATACATGAAAAATGTTTTCATATATTATTAATACTCATTTCCTATTTCAGGTGGATGCGTCATTCCTATCCCTTTATGACAGCCATGTAGCAAAGGAGATTCTTCTTCGAGTACTTACACTATTTCAGAATATAAATAACTGCCTCAAAATAGAAGGCCATTTAGCTGTGCAGCCTACTTTCACTGAAGGTTCATTGTTTTTCCTGTTATATGGAGAAGAATGTGCCCAGAAAATAAGAGCTTTAGTTGATCACGATGATGCAGAGGTGAAGGAAAAGGTTGTAACAATAATGCCCAAAATCTAATCGGTCATATTTTTCCAAAGAGTAATGCCGTCTGGATATAAACCTATTTTCTCTCTTCCTTATAAGGAGATTCTTCCAGCTGCTGAATTTAAACAGTAAATACCACATTTCATCATTAACACAGCTATAACTTGCCATAGTGTTCAGATTTATCTTGGACTGTTTTGATACCAAGTGAGTATAAGAGCTTGTACTGAAACAATTTCTTTTTATTTTGCTATTTGCAAATATTTGTTATTTTCCCTACATGAAGTGGCAGTAACCTTTTCACAAAGCTACCCTACTTTTTGAAGTGATTTGCAGTTACTTATCTGAAACAGCATTAGTATGTGACTAAATCGATGTTTCAGAACTGTAGTAGGAATGGTCATGTTCTTTTAATAGCAGTGAGATCCTAAGTTCTTGATGCCACTCACCTGCCAACCTGACCACACTGCTTTCAAGTCTATTCTCTTGAGTCGATGAAAAATGTAAACTTTTAGGAGAGAATGTTTCCTAGGACTTGCCCACTCCCATTCAGTGTTTCAATATGTAAAGAAAGTTACATATAAAATACTGGGATCAATCATAATGTCCATCTTTAGGCAGTTGGTTAAATCAATTATCCAGTCTTTTAAAAGAATTATGGAGGTCTGAATGTGCTGATTTAGAAATATATCTATGAAATATGGTGGGTTTTTTTTTAAGGCACAAGTTACAAAAAAATATGGGATCCCATGTGTGTGTGTTTCTAAATGAAAAATACTTACGTATTGACAGACACTTCTATATTGATACCCAAACTCCTGCAGTGGGAGTGGGGAATGCCTTCTACATACACAATATTACTGTGTGAATTTTTTACTATGAGCCCAAATCTTTTTTTAAATAAAGAAGAAAAAAATCACTCATAATATTACACACATTTTTTCCCTTGATGGTATTTATTAATTTTCATCCATATTTTACTTGACTAAAAATACAATGTATGAAAATTTGTTATATTTAATAATATTTTTATTCCATAAGCTACTACAACAATTTATTGGTATATCTGGGATTCAGCCAGGTCTTATAATATTTAAATTTATGACCCTTGCCATGCTTAGCATTAAGTAAATCAGTATACAAGCAGTATTTAAGGCAAAGCTTTAAGAATACTTTAATTTGTAAATACATAGATACAAGACTGTTTCCATAGGAATTCACAAACCCTCAAACAGAAATATGTATGTGTGTTCTCAAGGTTATCCTGATGCAGAAATCAAACTTGGAAGAAATACTTTTACATTAGAAAAAGGGTTCGGTATAAGGTGAAAAATGGAAGTTCCCAGTGGGCTAGACAAGAACAAAAGTATTAATTTCACAAAAGGCACATTTCTTTATAACAGTTTTTTCAAATCTACCTCCCTATTTTAATGAAAGCATATTCATTAAATATCAAAATGTGCATACATTAGAAACCAGGATGGGTTTTTAATGTGCTTTAGCAGCAGTGGATTCTAAAACTCTCTTTTCCTCTCATTAGTTTGAATAAATAATCACACTCCCTAGAGATCAGAGCATTGACTCTGAAATGTCAAAATGCTAGAGAAAAGAGGGAGTAATTTTTAACTACCCAGAAAGAAAAATGCACAAATACATCTTTACGTATGTAGGTCACAGCATATGTTGGCTTTTATAATTTGGGATTTCTCCTAATTGATGACCTACCCATTTGGGCAGTGAGGCATAGCAAACTGTTCCTCAGTTATCATAGAAAACTTTAATAAAATCTTACATTTTGGATGTAAGATATGGATGTTCACTAATCAAAATGAAGTTGACTTAGAGGATAAGACTGATCCAAAGACACTACAATGTATATTAGATTGAAGTGAGGAAGAGAATGGATTTGTCTTATTTTTCAAACTTTGTTTTCACTTTGTACATAAACCCTCCAAAATGTAGATAACAAATGAAAAAGTGGAAATGACTCAGTAAGGTTAGATTTTGTAAGCAGAGATGAAGCTTGATGTTCTTAATAAAAGTGTCAATGTAGAAAGAACATGAGTGGTAATAAAAAATTACAGCTGAAAAGGCCTAGAAAAATGAGGCAGGCCATATGAGAACACAATTAGAACACAACAATTTAAAGTGCTTAGAGACCCTCAGTTAAACAGTACATATGAATACAAAATATGTTAAGGCCATTCAGAGAGAAGAAATACTTAAGATGTACCTGGCTTGCTTCATAGAGGTAAGAGAAGAATTTTCAATTCGGCGTGCAACAGCAAGGAATATGGCTACAACAATGTTGGCTATTACTAGGGCAACACACCTCAAAGCTAACCCACCACAAACCTAACATATTGATTCACATCTGCTTGGAGTGAAAAAGTTTATCATCAGTCTTTTCAGAAAGGTTTATTTTGTGGGAAATTTTTTTTGTGCTTTAGTACCCCAAGATCACATATATTTGCATACATTATACATACACACATTACATACACATTTCCCCTTGACTGATTCGCATCTTTGTAGATAAAAACACTTAAAGATTATTTACATCTATATTTAGGATATTACTCCAATTTACAAAGTGAGTGAAATAAAGTTGTTCTCAATGTTTAGTCTCCTAATAGATAATGCTTAAATTTGCAACAGGAACAATATATTATCAAAAGCATTATATTCAGCTTTCAAATATACCTATGTTAGGCAGTGACACCTTAAGAAATCATTTTCTCCCTTATATTTCTAAAGTGCTTTAAAAACTCATTTGTTCTACACATTTTTCAGAGGTAGGTCAGAATTATTCTCTTGTTGCAGATGAGGAAAACAGGCACAGTGAGCATAGGTGACTTGTTTTAGGTTACAAAAAGAATCTGATGAAAGCAGGGTAAGAATTCAGGTTTAGTGGCTAACATGGCACACATATACAAGTGCAAATAAATTATAAAGCACTGCCTGGGTAGCATTTGGTGTTGAAAACCTATTTTGATTATTTTCTATGAATAAAGTGCTGAGACTGTATTAGAAATACAGAATGGGCCTCCAGTGGTATCTAATTCAACTCCCTCCTTAGGAAAGGTCAGAATCATCAAGTGAATACAGAGCCCTTATTAGGACTCAATTTTATGTCAGCTGACTTTTTTTTTTTTTTTTTAACCACTGGTATTCCTACTGGCTTACTAAAAAAATCATGCTTAAGATTTATTTAATATAAAAATATAAAACATCTGAATCATGAAAAACAAGGTATTTATAAATCTGATTGATATATTCAGAGCTAAAAGACCCAGAAAAAAAAATGTGTAGAAAAAATGAAAAACATAAAATTTAATTCAAAATGTATGGTCTATTAACATTATTAACATTTTATCTGTAAAATATTTCATTGTAATTGTATTTGTGCTTAGAAGACCTGATTTCTAGATTTAAAAACAGAAAATGGCATAAATCATATTCTCATAGCCACACTCCTTCCCTTCCTATGCTAAGAAGAGGACTCTCTTTTGAGACAGGGTCTTATTTTGTCACTCATGCTGGAGTGCAGTGGTACGATCACAGCTCACTACAGCCTCCACCTCCTGGGCTCCCGTGATCCTCCCACCTCAGCTTGCCAAGTAGCTGTGACTACCACCACACCACCTCGCTCGGTTATTTTTTTTTTTTTCTAAAGACAGGGTCACCAGGTTGCCCAGGCTGGTCTCGAACTCCTGGGTTCAAGTGATCCACCCACTTTGGCCTCCCAAAGTAAGAGGTCTTTTGATTTGGGAATTGCAGACATGCAACAGAATATACTGTTCCTTCTCATCTGAAGGCTCTAGGAAAAAAACACACTGTTCCCTCTTTTAAAATATAAGTGAATGGTAGTCATGTCTGCATTAATGCCAAAGAACTGTACACTTAAAAATGGTTAAGATGGTAAATTTTATGCATTTGTATATTTTACCACAATAAAAAAAAAATCTAGTCTTTTAAAAATGATAGCCCCTATGTTTTTATGCTTACCAAAATAAACCATATTTAATATTTGGCATATAAGCTAATCTTGATAGAGCAAGAATTGCTATGTTACAAGCATGTTGGAGTCAATTTGATCATTTGTTATAATGGGCATATAAGAAACATTTTTATGTGTAGGCCTCTGAAAAAAATCTAGTTAGGTAAACAGCCTTGATTCACCTTGCAGAAGGTCCTGAAGAATGGAAAAAACAGAAATGAGTCTAATGTCAGTTTTTTCACAACCTCAGAAAATTCTACTACCACGAAAGTATAATACTTTAGTAAAAACATTTCCATTGCAGTGCTTATATCCTGTTATGAGATTTAAAATCCACATTAGCCAATTCATCATTTAAATGACCCACCCCGAACCCTCTCATAGTGTATATGAGCTGATCATATTAGGAAGCACGTTTATTACACAAAACATAAAACACAAACTTGTGGAAGTTGTTTCCAAATGTAAAAGAATCACAATATGAATTTCTGAGTCTTTTCATTTGTTTTTAAACTTACATCAGATGATAGCTTTTTCATTAAAAGTACCTGTGCTCACATTTATTAAAAGTTTTCATCATCAGTATTTAGGTATCTTGATTCTCCATGCTTCAAGACAAAAAAATCTTCAGCATTAAGTCCGTATCTCTCTAGAGCTTCATTCAGCTTCACTGGAGGCTCTAAGTAATGCTGGCCAAAGGTAGAAGAAAAACAGAAAAAGATTAACGGTACATATATTTGGGAGAGACTCCAATAACGGTTCAAACTAAAATAACCAACAGATGTCTAGTTAAAATAAGGCCCTTTCTTTTAATTGAAGCATTAGCAAATGGGTCTGTCACATTTTCTAATACAGTTTTGAGTCATGAATCAACAGAAATGTATATGGTTGAATAGAAATCATGCCAAAACCATGCATATCAAATTTGGTGCCATCTTACTTTGAACATCATTGGATTGCATGAAATCTTATCACTGTTTTACCATATGAAATTCAAGTCTAAATGGAATCAGTGCCAAAGATGATGATATTAGGTAATTACATGTTAACATTTTTGAAAAACAGAAATTTGAGACTGAGGTGTGTGTGTGTGTGTGTGTGAGCAAGTGCTAGAGCAAACTGTTTTGGCTGAAGAAGGGTTGTTATCCTCAAAAAGTCCAGTC